ATGGCGCAATTTGTTCTAAAAATAGAATTATTGTCCCATATCATGGGGACAACCCCAATACTAGAAATGGCGCGCGCTTACGGTCTCCGTTCCCGATTATGGCTCCTGATACGGGATCACACACAAATGTTGAGTGGTTTTCTTTATGGCAGAACCCAACATGTAAGAGGCATGCGTTCTAGCATCATTAGCGTTATATACTATGTTAATTTCCACGCGGTTTTTAGTGCAGAGTGCACTATTGGGATGGTTTGGGGGTTGCCGTCGTTAAAGCACTATTGCACTAAGGCACTATGACACTAAGGCACTATGGCACTATGGCACTATGGCACTATGGCACTATGGCACTATGGCACTATGGCACTATGGCACTAAGGCACTATGGCACTATAAGACTAAGGCGTTATGGCAATAAGGCACTATGTACTAAGGCACTATGGCAATAAGGTGTAAACTTTAATGTTTGTACAATTAATTAATTTTAATTAATTAATTAGGCTTGCAGCAAGGGGGGTAGGATGGGGTAGGTACTTGCGAGCACTACGTAAAATGGGTGGTGTATGTACTTACGTTACTTCCTTGAGCTCTTCAAAAAGTTATTTATTTGTGTCAGAAAGCCCCTTGCTCTCCTTGCATGTGGTACTTTTCTCTTTAGAACAAAACCAATATTTGCTCTAAACGCATGCGCAGATTAATAAGCGCTAGTGCATTCTCGTCCCCAGTGCTACTCGTCTTAAAATGTCGTTGACGAGTAGCTCTGGACGCACCCAAAAATTCGAATTTTTTCATTGGCTGACAAAAAATGAATGCGCAGCAGAAATGAAAATTACAAAGCTCTACGCATTCCATTTTACTTCCGGCCCAGATGGCATTCTCGTCCCCAGTGCTACTCGTCCTAAAAAGTCGTTGACGAGTAGCTCTGGACGCACCCAAAAATTCTAATTTTTTCGTTGGCTGACAAAAAATGAATGCGCAGCAGAAATGAAAATTACAAAGCTCTACGCATTCCATTTTACTTCCGGCCCGGATGGCGGCACCTTCGCTCAGTTGACACAGGCGCGCTTTAGGAAAAAAACACATGGTGACCTTTCCCGATCGATCCGAAGGAATCGTTAAAGTTTCCACGTAACCAAAGGACTACGTCGCCTGTAACGATGTCATTCACGATCGTAATCATCGTCCTTTGTTGTAACAGCGGAGAAGGTGGGAAGAAACCTTTAGAACTCGGAGAATCAACCAGCTAATACAACAATTACTTTGTCGCTGACCATACCCCAAGAAATCATACTTCTCATATTTATTTAATTATAATACTGATGTAAATTAATACCATGGTTTGTATTGACCTTGTTAGTTTTGATGAGACATTATGGTTGGCGAAATGGTGCAAAATTCACAAAGTTTATATTCATTCACATTTAATGCTGTTATTATTATTCACGAATATATTTATTCACATTCAAAAACTAAATTTATGATCTTAGCATTGTGCATGTTTGATGTGTGTATTTTCATTCACAGTCCAAGAATAGCTTACAATTAATTACCGTTTGTCAAGACAGCTCTTGAATTTTACTGTAGTGTTTTACGTAATACATTTAAGTAGCGAACGTGACAATTCTACTCTTCACGCAAACGTTTGTAACCTGAAACTCTTGTTTTCTCGAAAATTTAAAATACATAGTGATATCGATTAATACAACTGAGAAACTTTTCAACGAGAGGTATTGAAAGTAAACAGCGCTACTTGACCGAGATTATATCTTTCATCGGTGAACGAGTCTCCACAGAGAATGATAAAAATTTATGCTTTCAGTAGATACCACGGAGTCTGCGGCAATATTTGAGCAGTTTCCTGGGTTTTTGGTACAATTTGACAAGTTTTAATGCCACTTACTCGGGAGAGTTTCGGCTGCGGGTATGAACATTTTGCTCTCTTTGATAGAGACAATTAAAGAATGAAATAAACATACTAGTGTAGTTTGGAAACAGCAGATGATATTTCTTGAACCAATTTAGGCGTAATTCCAAAAGACACGCAGTCACAGTAGCATTCTTGTATCGAGTTAACGATGCTAGAGCGCATGCGTGTGACTTATTAGGGTTCTACCACACGGAAAAGCGCTCAGCGTTAGTGTGTGATCTTGTATGAAATGTATCTTCCATCTGACACTAGCGCCATTCTCGTCCCCAGAGCCTCCGTTTCCTTTGGTCACGTGGTCGGAGAAACGGAGGGTTCTGGTAGCAGCCATTACCGGATGTTCGTAAATCACGGACATCCGGTAACGCATGCGTAATTTTGGCCTGT